AACTCAATAAATGCCAGATATTCTAACATACTGATACATGCTCTCTAGTTAGACTTACATAGAGCTATACGATCCAGAACAGGGGCTGTTCTTTGAATGCAGCCTGGTCTGAGTTATGAGGTGGGCAACCAAGATCTTTGGTTGCATCCCTTGGAGATCACACTGTCACATTTTGGCAGGAAAGCACTAAGAAATCATTGCAATTTTCCATCGATTTTCAGCGGAAAGCTGTATTAAAATCCATTGTAGAATGGCATTATGGGGAGGGCAAGGGAAGGATGCAGTGGTGGGATTCAGCCAGTTCGCACCACTTCGGCAGAACCGGTAGCTAAATTTTTGTTGCCCAGGCCCAGAATGGACTTCTAGAAGCGGCATCCACACAGACAACCGATTGTTGACATATTTGAATCCCACCACTGGAGGGATGTGACATTTGCATTATATTATCATTGGTGTGATGACACCCTGGATTGCCTGTCATCATCATGGCTTCTACCAGCTACATACAGATGCACCCTTTTAATACTTAATTCTCATTGGGAAGATCTCAATCAGTTGAAAGAAGATTCATTCATTCATTTATTCTCTCAAACTTTGGTTGGAGACTACAAAGCCCACCCAAAAGTTGACCCTAAATTGTAATATTTTTATCTGACAGAAAAGAGAAATTATTTAATATATAGGAAGTGATTGCATTAACTATGTGTTAATTACCAAAATGTAGTGTATTTATATCAGGAACATCTACAGTTTGATCATTTTTCCAATTGGGCCTCTGTAATTTGGATTACACCAGATTGTTACCCAGATCTTTCAGTTCCATGCAAAATAACAGGGAGTAAACCATAAGTCTTGAGTTATGCAATGGCTGATCTCATTAAAGAATATATATATTCTTTAAAGAATATATATATTCTTTAATATGTGTGTGTGTGTGTGTGTGTGTGTATCTCGCAGATACAGAACTTTTATCATACACATTAGAAAACTACAACATTACATTTACTTTTCGACATAATCGCTATTCAATTTGAGACACTTGTCATAACATCTTACAATGTTTGAAATTCCTTAGTAGTAGTTGCTCGGCAACAAATTTGGCCTATAGGAGGGTGATAAAAAAAATATCCCAACGGAACTACTTAAAATGTTCTTAGGTCCATCTAGCAGTGTGTAGGCAAGCATTATTGTGAACCAATACCACACCGGAAGTCAGCATACTCCGACACTTGTTATGGATGGCTCATCTGAATTTTTGTAACATCTCACAATATAATAATAATAATAATAATAATAATAATAATAATAATAATAATAATAATAATAATAATAATAATAATAATAATAATAATAATAATAATAATAAAGTTGGAAGGGACCTTGGAGGTCATGGTCAAACCATGCTCCATGAACTTCACTAGCAGTGCTCCTTTGGCATCTTCACATTTGGTGGGATTTTCTTTCGCACCCCTTCCGGTGTAGTGCCTCAGTTTGAATGGCGATTATGTCAAAAAGTAATGTAATGTTGTAGTTTTCTAATATATATAATGAAAGTTCTGTATCTGTCATTGATAACCAAATGGAGAGTTATTTCCGAATTGCTCTTGTGTATACACACACACACAAACACACAAACACAAACACACACACAGAGAGAGAGAGAGAGAGAGAGAGAGAGAGAGAGAGAGAGAGAGAGAGAGAGAGAGAGAGAGAGAGAGAGAGAGAAGACTAAGAGTTATGCACTTCATACTGAATTTTTTTTTGAGGAAATGTGAGGTCATGGGTATGAGAAACTATCTATAAAATGAAGGATTGTGAGAGAATTTTCACAGGCATAGGTTTTTTATATAAGTTGTTTTATTGTAAAGAATAAAATACAGAAAGGTAAAATTAACAAACAGAAACATACATTCAACTCTAACCAAAAAAGAAAGAAAGAAAAAATAGTGTACAAAAAAGGAGGAAAAAGTGGTCAATTAAATTTAACATTTAACTTGTAGGATCCACCCTGACTGAGTGCTGAAAATAAAATAGCAATAAATTCTCCTCCCCTTTTACAAATATGTAAGATANGGTAGGTAGGTAGGTAGGTAGGTAGGTAGGTAGGTAGGTAGGTAGTAGGCAGGCAGGCAGACAGACAGACAGACATGAAAAAAGAAGAAAAGCAATACACAGGCTGAGCTTAACATTACACTAATCTTCAAATCCCTCTGTTAACCATCTGTTATTATATTTAGCATGTAGAAAGTCCACAAATGGTTTCCAGTCTCTTATATAGCTGTCTAGTCCATTATCTCTCATCAAAGCGGTTAGTTTTGCCATCTCAGCTAATTCCGTCAATTTCAAAATCCATTCTTCAACAGTCGACATATTTTTTTTCTTTCCAGTGTTTGGCAAGTAGTTTTAAACCAGAGACACTGAAGCACAAATCAGTTTATTGGTAGCCTTGGGGGCAAAGCTAGACACTAAAAGAGGATGGGATACAGTCCCTCTTTCTGGACTTATGGAAAGGAGAATGATATACACAACAGCTGATGGGATTTTGCACATGAATTTAGTGAGGTTGATGAGGCAATTGTGAGGCAGGATTACAAAGATGAGGGGCGTTGAAAAAGAACATAAAGGAAGCATGCCATGAGCAGAGTTTGTTTATTTATACAAATAGTCCTCTTTATGAAGACTGACCCAAAACAGGGGACTTATGACCCGGATTGGAAGTTCTGACAGCCCCTCCCCTTCACAATCACATGACTTCACTTTGGGTGCTTGGCAACAGGGCCACGTTTGCAGTGTCCTATGATCACGTGACCATATTAGTTTCACCAAAAACTGGCACTTCCACTAATGGATTCACTTAATGACTCTGGTGCTTGTTTTACAATCACCACAGAAAAGTTGTAAAATTGGGTCAGTCATGAGAACGACCCGTGTTCCAATCATTATGACTGTAATAGGCAGACACCATTATGATTGTAACTTGAGGAATACCTGTAACGGACTACCTTATCTTAAACTGTCCTTTTTTTCCAATATGCAAGTATTCCTTGACTTACAACCATTCGCTTAATGACTGCTTAAAGTTTCAACAGTATTGAAAAAAGTGATTTATGACAGTTTTTTTTACCTACGACCATTGCAGCATCTCCATGATCATGTGATCAAAATTCAAACCCCTAACAGCTGATTCCTATTTATGACGGTTGCAGCATCCTAGGGCCATGTGATCACTTTTTGTAGCCTTCTGACAAACAAAGTCAACGGGGAAGCCAGATTCACTTAACAACCATGTTACTAACTTGACAGCTGCAGTAATTCACTTAACAACTGCAGCAAGAAAAGTCATAAAATATGGGCAAAACTCATTTAACAATTGTCTTGCTTAGCAACACAAATGTTCAGCTCAGTTGTGGTCGTAAGTTGAGGACTATATGTATACTCCACAACTCCTAGTATTTTTTCCCAGCCAATCAACATTCCTTGGATAGTGGCTAAGAGAAAGTTGAATTTCCCTAGGAAAGTGTTATTTGTGAAGGAGGTAATTTAGCAGCCTAAATTGGATATCATATAGTTGAGTAGCACTTCCTGTTTGCCAGAAAAATGTTTTGGGTCAGGGACCTGCAAAATGCTACTTGAGGATGCAATGCAATCTATATAAATTAGTCTAATGCTTGGGATTCTTCTAATTAAAAAAAAATGCTTATAGCAACCAGGGTTGAAAGTGTAGGCCTGTGGTGGCGAATCTATGGCATGCGTGCCACAGGTGGCACGCAGAGCCCTCTCTGTGGGCATGCGCGCCATTGCTCCAGTCTTAGGCCTTCAGCTGGGTTTTATAAAACCTTTTCGCTTTACGCCTCCGACACCGTGTACAAAAAAAAAAAGTTCAATCAGTCAATTTCAACTTCTCGCGGGGAAAAAAAAGATCTCGCAAAGTTGGAATTGATTGATTGAACTTTTTAGTCCCACCCAGTCTGCCATTACCCCCGCAGCCACGCCCACCCAATGGGCCATACCCACTCAATGGGCCATGCCCGCCCAGTGGGCCATGCCCACCCGGCACCCGACGATACATAAGTGGGTTTTGGGTTGCAGTTTGGGCACTTGGTCACTAAAAGTTTCGCCATCACTGGTGTAGACTGAGCAGAAGATGGGGATTTAGCGCAGAGAGGGGCAATTTATTTTCCCAAGAGGCCACATGAGAAACTGGCAATATTGTGCAGGGCTGAAACCAATAGGGTTGTGAAGATATATATGCACACATGTACACACGCACATACATAAATTTTAAAAAATAACATGACCTTCAGAATAAAAATAATGCAGTTGTATTGTGTTTGTGGTATATGCTTAATTACATTTGATTTTTAGTTTTGAATTGACCTCAAGCAGGTTGGACAGGGACAGCAAAGGGCAGGATGTGGGCTGGGGCCATAAAATGTCCAAGTCTGATCTAGTATCTGCACACCCCTAAATAATCATGAAAGCTCCCTCAAGTCAACCTGAATTGCTGATGATCATACACTTTGACTTTGACTTAGGTTTAATGGATGTATATCCCAACTTTCTATCTGTGTGTCAAAGCAACTTGTAACAGCAAAGGAAATACTGTCACATTGATTCAGTCCAGATTAAAACTAGCATTAAAATAAATAGATGATGTTTTCTTGGCTATGAAAGTGGTTTATTGTTTTCTTTCAGGATATTTTTCTTTTCAGTTTTCCACTTCAGCCTATAGTCTTGGGACTTCCAATGCTTCTCCACCCAAAAGCTAACCAACTAGATGGGGCCACCTACTGAGGATACTCTCCTCCAGTGTTTCTAGATTTCAATTATTCAGATTATTTATCTGGCCAAGGAGTAACAACCAACCAACATTTACATACTTGTCTCAGCAAAGACACAAAAATATAACAATGTAGGTGATAACTAGTTTTGGTCAGAAAAAAAATATTCATCGTAGGATTATATGGACACCACAGGATAAGAAACCATTCCAATAACAATCACTTTTGATCTTCCCCAGCGCATAGTTTGTTGCCCATCATTCTTCTCAAAGCCACCTTAACCTCCTTGTTCCTCAAACTGTAGATGATGGGGTTCAACATGGATGTCACAACTGTATAGAACAGGGCCAACAGTTTGTCACTCTCAGCTGAATAGCTGGATTTGGGCCGAAGGTACGTGATAATGCCTGACCCATAAAATAGCGAGACCACAATGAGGTGAGAAGAACAGGTGGAGAAAGCTTTCTGACGGCCCTCAGCTGATGGGATCTTCAAAACAGAGATGACAATGTAGACATAAGAGGTCAGAATCAGTAGGAAAGGTGTGGTAATAAAAAGGACGGCCACCATGTATACAGCAATCACATTTCTGGAGGTGTCACCACAAGCCAGCGTCAAGAGTGGTGGGATGTCACAGAAGAAGTGGTTGATCCTATTGGGGCCACAGAAGGTCAAGCTAAAGACATAGTTGGCCTGACCCAGCCCCACCATCAATCCTACTGACCAGGACACTATGGAGAGCTGGACACAGACAGTTGGGCTCATGATGATGGTATAACGCAAGGGGTTACAGATGGCCACATAGCGGTCGTAGGCCATGGCAGCAAGGAGACAGCATTCTGTGATTCCAAACAAGGTGAAGAAATACATCTGGGTAGCACAACCCCAGAGAGCTATCTTCTTCCCATGCTCTGACATCAGGCTTGCTAGCATCTTAGGAACAATGGTGGTTGTGTAGCATATTTCTAGGAGGGAGAGGTTGGTCAAGAAAAAGTACATGGGTGTATGAAGGACTGGATTGAGCCTGATCACAGTGGTGATGATAGTGTTTCCAGCAAGGGACAGAGCATACATGGAGAAAACCAGAACAAAGAGGAGCGTCTGCAATTGCGGCCGTTCAGAAAACCCAACAAAGATGAACTCGGTCACCAGCAAAGAATGATTGGACATAACTCATATCAGACGACGGCTCATCTGCAGAACATAAGAGAAAACGAAAAATCGCCAATGAGAAATTACCTGTTTCCCAAAATTTATGGGAAAGAAACTATAAATTGACAATGTCAGCTTCCTATAAAGAAAACCTATACAAAATGTTCTATAGATGGCACTTGCCACCAGCAAGATTAGCAAAAAATGTTTAAAAATATGTCAGATAGATGTTGGAAATGTAAACATAAGTCAGGCACATATTATCATGTTTGGTGGACATGTGACAAAGTAAAGAATTATTGGAAAAAGATACATACTTGGCTAGAACAGATGTTAGGAGAACATGTTGATTTTAAACCTGAACTTTTTTTATTAGGTATAATGCCAGAAAAGACTAATAAACAAAGCTTATACTTGACTTTGCATGTCACAACAGCGGCAAGAATTATATTTGCGCAACACTGGAAAAATGAAGGCATACCATCAGATGAAGAAATAATTAAAAAAAATACTAGAATGCACAGAGATGGACAGATTGACTATGAGACTGAAAGAAAAAGAAGAAACAGAATATTATCAAGCCTGGGACTTATTTTACCATTGACTGGATGAAAGAAGAAATGATTAGGAATTAAATATGTATTAGCATGTAAACTCAGACAACAAGTTGGTTGAAAAATTACTATTGTATGTATGGAAAAAATGAATAAAAAAACATATTAAAAAAGAGAAATTACCTGTTTGTTCATTTATTGCTGCTGTTTAATAGAAAGATGGACTTATCTCCTTGGTGGTGACACCCTCTGATTTCCCACCCTAGCTATAGAGTAATTGCATAGAAGTAAGAAGAAAGGAGAAAACAAGGTTGATTCATGCAGTATGCACCCAAACACACACACACACACACACACACACAGAGAGAGAGAGAGAGAGAGAGAGAGAGAGAGAGAGAGAGAGAGAGAGAGAGAGAGAGAGAGAGAGAGAGAGAGAGAGAGTCCAAATGTACCTTATTTACTTGTTTAAAACAAATCATGGCTTAGTGTAATATATGTATCTAACCATATCTGATCCTAAATAAATCTGGCTTTCATAAATCTCCCAGTTCCTTTTAACACAGTACCACTTTGGGGGGTTCCTGTTATTTATAAAAAGAGGATTATAAAAAATCGTCACCTGCAAATTAACTTAATTCTACTGAATATTGGAGGGCAATTTACTATAAACGATAAAGCTAAAAGCGCCAACTTACAGATTCCATCATAAGCTTCTCCCAAAGTTTTTTGAAGGAGGAACTTGGATAGTCTAAGAGTGAAAAATCTAGAGTGAAAAATCTCTAGGTTAAAACCACTAGAACGTTAAGCAGAATTGTGTGGAGTAGAGCAGGCTAGATATGGCAGTGATAAATAAAAAATAAATTTTAAAATCTTAAGCTGATTGTGTGCATTTGGGTGCATAAAATATTAATGTAACTTATTCCATATACTAAATTGCAAACCCCTACATATTCTAAATGAATCTCCAGATACACTTCAGCATGGAATGTTTGCCATCACAAGCTGTGAAGTCCACAGAATTATTCCAGCATCTTGGAATTAAAAGAAAATGATTTTTTTTTATCTGAGATTTTATCAAACAAGAGTTGTTTGTTTGATAAAATCTCAGATTAAAAAAATCATTTTCTTTTAACTCTCAAATGGGCCTTCATGAACAATTGCAACCAGCACAACGAGGGCCTTTTGGGAAATTATATTGAACAATTATATTCAATGAATCCTGAAATTGTATTTAAAAATGAAAACAGTATACCTCTCTTCACGAACACTTACCTTTGCACGTATCTTTGAAAATCTGATCCAATCTATTGTCAGAAAAGAAAATCTCAGGTTGGTTCAACCAACGTCTTTCTATGTTACTGCGTTCCCCATGAGGCTTCCCCAGTGAACAGGTGTACTTCCTCTCCCAGAAGCAATGACATGTCCCCCAAAGCATTTTAGCCCCTTAGATACTTTTCAAAACAAACTTCTTCTTCTTAGCAATCGGAATGTTGTTATTGTTTGATTTGTAGGACTGGAAAAATCCACTTCCTTTTAACGAGAATAAACCACAGAAGCATCTGCTATCTATGTGAATCTTCTCACTTCTCAAAATGTCCTATAAACGAAGACATATAGTCTGCTAAATACAAATTTCAAGGCACTAATATACCGATTGGGAGGGGAAAAAGTAGACAAGAAATGCCAGTCCCATAAAATCAGAACTTGGATTGACTTAATTCAATGTCATAAGTGAGAGTACAGAGTTTTTAAATAGAATGCATTGAACACACGGGTAGAAACCAGGTTGTTAAGTATAGTCCTTGGGTCTCCAAATGTGGCAACTTTAAGACTTGTGGATTCCAACTCCCAGAATTCTCCAGCCAGCACGGTTAGCTGAGGAATTCTAGGAACTGAAGTCCACAAGTCTGAAAGTTGCCACATTTGGAGACCCCTGGTATAGTCAAAGGTTAGTCTACAGAAGAACATCCACTATAGCTAGTCCTGATCTCAAAACGTTCTCCAGAGCCCCTCAAAACCTGCTGATTTATTGTGTTTGAATTTGTGGGAATATTTATTTATTTATATTTCACATTTCTGGACCTCCCATCTCCCTCAAAGAGGGATTCTGGGCGGTGTACAATAAAACATCATCTCTTCTTAAATTTCTTTTTTTCCATATGTGGAACAGTTCAAGTTCAAGCCAACTTTCATGCGGTCCCATGAATACGCTCAGTTCCCCCCAAATTGCAACAACATGACATGTTAGGCATTTTCAGACTATTCACAACTGAAATAAAGTCAACACAGAGTTCATCTACATCCATGGGCACAGGAGGCAGAGAGGTTCACCATTGAGGCCATCTTTGTTGACCCCAGGGCTAAACATGGGGTACAGGCACTCGGAGAAGACATCCAGAAAGGTATAGATGTGGGTCATGGTGTCAGCGTCGTAAAAAGAGACCTGTCCTCCTTCATAATCTAAATAGACCCCCACTTTCTCAGGCTTGATGTCGAGGAGCAACTGCTTGGAGGGAGAGTCAAGGGCCTTGTACTCAACGCCATTCCGTAGCCAAATGGCCCAAAACCCATTGCTGGGCTTGACCGTCACTTTGGCCTCCTTCCTGTTCACCGACTCCTTGGCCACCCCAATATCCCAGCTAGTTTTATTTCCAACTTCTACCTCCCAATAATGGCATCCTGAAGTAAAGCCCTGGGCACCCAGCACACACACAGTCTTGCTAAATCTTTCTGGACCATCAGGGATTTCTTCTTCGGGATTATCTTCCAAGTGTACTGTGTCGAGATCCTTGGAGAGCACAAGGTTGGGATGATTGGTGGCAGGATCCAAGGTTATATGGGCAGGATCTGTTGGGAGGAGAACAATAAGAGAGTTATCTATATTTGGCAACTTTCAATCAATCAGAATAGAGCTGGGAAGGACCTTGAAGGTCTTCTAGTCCAGCCCCCTGCTCAAGCAGGAGAACTTATACCATTTCAGACAACTAAAGTCCAGTGTCTTTTTGAAAACCTCCAGTGATGAAGCACCCACTACTTCTGAAGGCAAACTGTTCCACTGGTTAATTGTTCTCTCTGTTAGGAAGTTTCTCTTTAATTCCAGGTTGCTTCTCTCCTTGATTAGTTTCCATCTATTGTTTCTTGTCCTGCCCCCTGATGCTTTAGAAAATACATTGACCCCCTCTTCTTTGTGGCAGCCCCTCAAATACTGGAATACTGCTATCATGTCACTCCAGTCCTTCTTTTCTCTAGATCAGGGCTTTTCAACCAGTGGTACGGGTACCACCTGTGGTACATTGGCACCTGGCAGGTGGTACGCGACCATCCTAGAAAAGTGGTAGCGGGGGAGGGGAATGAGCTGAACCGGTGGCAGCACCACACAAGCCTGAGCGAGAGATGGCTGGAGCTGCAGGGCTGTCAGGGCTCAGTGGAAGCGCCAGGATCAGTGCTTCTTCGGGACTGTCAGGGCTCAGTGGAAGCACCAGGATCAGTGCCAGGCTCCAGCTGGAGCTCGGCGCTGATCCTGGTGCTTCTGCTGAGCCCTGAAGAAGCACCAATCAGCTGGAAAGCAGCACTGATCCTAGCGCTTCTGCTGAGCCCAGAAGAAGCGCCGATCAACTGGAATGTTGCAGCATCTCCAGGGTCTTGTGATTTACATTCAGATGCTTGGCAACTGATTCATATTTATGATGGTCACAGTGTCCCAGGGTCATGTGAAGTGACCAAAACCTGCTGCAACCACTCATCTGATGGGGGAAATAAAAAACAAACATGACCCCCACCCCACCCCTGCTGCCAATCCTCAACAGAAATGCTCACAACAATGAAAACCTCGGACAGGAGGAAGAGCGCCGCCGGGTGGGCAGGCAGGTGTCTTGCTCGGCTGTGGCTTGGGGGGCACTTTTTTCAGTGCCATTGTAACTTCGAACAGTCACTAAACGAACTGTTGTAAGTCAAGGACTACCTGTACTTTATCACTTTTTTCCTTTTTTGGTCATCAAGTTTTTGACACCTTGCTAGGCGACTGGTGGTACTCAGATATTGCCATATCCTAAAAGTGATACAATGGGTGAAAAGGTTGAAAAGCCCTGCTCTAGATAGCCAAACCCAAATCCTGAAACCGTTCTTCATATGTTTTAGCCTCCAGGCCTTTATAATCATCTTAGTTGCTCTTCTTTGCACTTTTTCCAAAGTCTCAACATCTTTTTTGTGATGCGGTAACCAAAGCTGGATGCAGTATTCCAGTTACTAAGGCTTTATAAAGCAGTACTAATGCTTCACGTGATTTTGGTTCTATGCCTGTTTATACAACCAAGGATTGTATTAGCTTTTTTGGGCGGCGGCTGCACGCTGCTGGCTCACATTTAAGTGACCGTCCACTAAGACTCCAAGGTCCCTCTCACAGTTACTGTTTTTGAACTTGGAAATGTCCCCCCAGGAAGATGTTTAAAAACAGGTCTATGCCAAGTAGATAACATCAGTTTTCAGCAATGCCAATCAAGAAATCCTGTTATTGTCCTGCTAAAAACTAGACAAATTTCAGTGGGTTTGGGATCTACTACTTCCACTCCCACAGTTCTAGTTAAGTGACTAAGAATAATTGCAGATAGTCCTCAACTTACAACGATTTGTTTAGTGACGGTTCAAAGTGACCACAGCACTGAAAAAGGTAACTTATGACCATTTTTCACACTTACGACCATTGCAGCATCCCCATGGTCATGCGACCAAAATTCAGGTGCTTGGCAACTGGTTCATATTTATGACGGTTGCCATGTACTGGAGTCACGTGATCACCTTTTGCGACCTTCTGGCAAGCAAAGTCAATGGGGAAGCCAGATTCACTTAACAACATGGTGCTAATTTAACAACTGCAGTGATTCACTTAACAACTGCTGCAAGAAAGATCGTAAAATGGGGCAAAACTCACTTAACAACTGTGTGGTGGTTGTAAGTCAAGGACTATCTGCAACTTTATTAGCTGTTATGTCTCTGGACATACACATGATCTTTCCAGCTTTCTGACTGATTCGCTGCTCTTGGTAAGTATGGTATAGAACGCAAATTCCCTGAAAGCATCATCTCCAAGTTCTAAAAGGGGATTCCATCCTGCATGGTTCTCCTCTGAAGACACTTGAAATGATTCTTTAATGAAGTTGTCCAAGAAGAAACCTGTTCCTTCTAACTCTGTTATTCTGTTATTCTGTCCTGGCCCAGTTTTGTGAAAAAAAGCAGGTATAAATATCCAGGTGAGCTCACTCCAACACAGTGCTAGGCTGCATTAACAGAGGGATAGAATCAAGATCATGTGAAGTATTAATACCACTTTACAATGCCTTGGTAAGGCCACACTTGGAATACTGCATCCAGTTTTGGTCACCACGATATAAAACAGATGTTGAGACTCTAGAAAGAGTACAGAGAAGAGCAACAAAGATGATTAGGGGACTGGAGGCTAAAACATATAAGGAACGGTTGCTGGAATTGGGTATGTCTAGTTTAATGAAGAGAAGGACGAGGGGGGACATGATAGCAGTGCTCCAATATCTCAGGGGCTGCCACAAAGAAGAGGGAGTCAAGCTATTTTCCAAAGCGCCTGAAGGCAGGACAAGAAGCAACGGATGGAAGCTAATCAAGGAGAGAAGCAACCTAGAACTAAGGAGAAACTTCCTGACAGTTAGAACAATTAACCAGTGGAACAACCTGCCTCCAGAAGTGGTGAATGCTCCAACACTGGAAGTTTTTAAGAAGAGACTGGACAGCCATTTGTCTGAACTGGTATAGGGTTTCCTGACTGAGCAGGGGGTTGGACTAGATGACCTCCAAGGTCCCTTCCAACTCTGTTATTCTGTTATTATTCTGTTACCTTCAACAAAGGTCTGACAGAACGAGTAGAAAAAGCATTTTATATGGAACACAGAATAACAGAGTTGGAAGGGACCTTGACGGTCTTCTAGTCCAACTCCCTGCTCAGGCAGGAGCCCCTACTGTATATCCTTCCAGTACCATTTTCGGTGAGGATGTGATAGGATCACCTCATGGTTAAATGTTTTGCAAACCACCAGCCAGCTCCTAAAAGCTTTGAGGTTTGTGGCAAAGTGCAACCACTTGAACTTTGAAATTTAGTCAATGTTACAATCCCCTTCCAAAAAGATGGAAACAAATTCTTAAGGGAGAAGGGAGATGGGATCTTGCCTTCCTTCCAAAGAGCTACGAGTAGTTACACCTCACTTGTACCCATGCAATTTTTAACCTTTGTCCTCCCAATTCTGTGAAATAGATTAAGGCAGTGATGGCGAACCTTTTAGAGACCAAGTGCCCAAACTGCAACCCAAAACCCACTTATGTATCGTCGGGTGCCGGGTGGGTGTGGCCCATTGGCTGGGTGTGGCCAATTGGGTGGGCGTGGCCCGTTGGGTGGGCATGGTTGCGGTGGTAATGGCAGACTGGGTGGGACTAAAAAGTTCAATCAATCAATTCCAACTTTGCGAGATCTTTTTTTTTCCCGCGAGAAGTTGAAATTGATTGAACCTTTTTTTTTTTTGCACACGATTACGGAGGCCTAAAGTGAAAAGGTTTTATAAAACCCAGCTGAAGGCCTAGGACAGCGCGTGTGCCCACAGAGAGGGCTCTGCGTGCCACCTGTGGCACCCGTGCCATAGGTTCGCCACCACGGGATTAAGGTAAAAGATGGCAGCAGGCTGACCTTTGAGCCTGCCGTCCTCCACCTGCTTCCATCCAGGAGTTGGGCACTGCTATGCCCATCATCCACAAACATTAATTGTACTGTTATGCTCCTTGGCACTGTTTATCATGATTCTTTCCAGTCACGGTTTTTCCAGAGTTCATTTGAGCAGCATGTTTGGAATTGAAAAAGAATGGGCTTTACAACACTTCCAGCTGTTGAACTGTTTAGGTTCAGCATGTACAGTCAGGGTGAAACTTTTTTTTAATTTCTCTTCTAACAGTTTTCCTATGATATGGAAAAGAGGTGTGCCTTTTCAGTGATAATGGAGAGGCTTGCATCTGGCAATTTACGTAACAGCCTCCTGAATCTTTTATCAGCCTGGGAACCAACCAGTTAATCTGCAGTTCATGGGAGTTGTAATCCACAATATAGGGAGAGAAGCATTTTAGACAAGGCTGCAGCAGACTACAGGGTTCAGCTGAGACTAAAAAGCCTCTTAGCTTAATACTCTAACCATGATACCACCCTTAGCAGAACTGAAATGAGTTACACACGATCAAATCATCATATAAGAATTCGCTCGGCTTTGTTGCGATTTTGATGCGGTTCCCCCATGATACTCACAAGGTCTTAAGTCCAGCAACATGTCTTTCCAGACCATGTATTGAATAGGCCCTTTAAACTGACCTAAATTGAAATCACGAGAAATAACAGGCAGTGGACTTGCTTTGTCCTCACCGGGACAGTATCTGCAAAGACAGAAAAATCAGCAAGAACTGTTCAATGCCAAGGCTTGTTCTTGACCGCCATCTGGTGGCCATATCTGGGAATTTCTGAGGCTCTCAATACTTTCCTTCAGTTTAAAACGATGCACCAAGGAAACTTAGTAGTAGTAGTAGTAGTAATACTCAGTGCTTTTTTTGTAAAAAAAAAAAAAAAAAAAAAAAAGGTGCCGGAACTCACACATGTCATACAACCCGCCTTGCCTACCCTACAAGGTTCCATCCAAAAAAGGTGCCGGAACTCCGTTCTGGGCGTTCTATGACAAAAAAAGCCCTGGTAATACTAGTACTAGTACTAGAAGTAGAAAAAGTAGAAGTAGAAGTAGAAGTAGAAGTAGAAGTAGAAGTAGAAGCAGAAGCAGAAGTAGAAGTAGAAGTAGAAGTAGTATTATGCTTTCAAGTCAGTGTTAACTCGTGCCAATTGCCTGGACAGATCTCTGCAGTTTTATTGGCAAGTTTTCAGAAGTGGTTTTCCATTGCTTCTTGATCCAAGGTCACCCAGATGGGTTTTTTTTTTTTGCCTAAATAGGACTAGAATTTATTTATTTGTTAAATGTATGTGCCATCTATCTTTACAATCTCCAATTCTCTAATCTGGCGCCTTAACCTCTACATCAGACTGGCTCTGTTGAGCAATCAGCCCTCATTTTATCCTCACCACAACTTGCAAGGTTGCTCTGAGATGTGTTCATGATTAATATTTTGGGGCAGATCCTTGAATCTGGAATCAAAGGCAGCAGGGATCAGTAAGGAAAACAGCCAGAGTCAGACTGATATGGTCTCCTATTGATTCAAGGAAGAGTGCAGAGCACTTCAGCTCAGCAGTGGGGGAAAGCCCCAAGCCAGACAAAGAACAGCAGACAATGACTTTATTGTAGTTATTATAAATAAGCCAAATTAAAGTAGTTCAACAGAAGGCCTCCACCCAATTTATAAAGGACCAACAGAGCATCAGAGCAACGGTTCAACAAGAAAACATACTCACCTTTCTATGAAGGGTTTGATATCCTGTGGAAGGAGAAAGTAAGAATGATCAGAAAAAGGCCAGCTGTTAAGAATGGTTTCCTGTTTTTTTTTTTAGCCCAGGCATGTCAAACTCGTGACATCACGTGACGTCACGCAACGTATCGGGACTTTTTCTCCATTGCCGGCAATGGGGTGGACGCGGTTTTGGCGTGATGCATCCGGCCCGCAGGCCGGCAGTTTGACATGCCTGTTTTAGCCCATTACTTTAAACTGGTTCCACCAGAATTCATCTAATGGAAGAAAGAGGAATGCTACCATCTTTCCCAATGGATCATGGAATCCTAGGGCTCTTGAAGATCTTCTAGTCCAGTGGTTCTCAACCTTTTTAATGCCGCGACCCCAACCGGTCATAAGTCGAGGACTAAACCAGTCGTAAGTCGAGGACTACCCAACCGGTCGTAAGTCGAGGACTTTCCCTGCCCAGGAGCGCCGCACATGCGTGGTTCTGTCCCCTGCGCCGGCCGAGGCGTAGCTGGCAAGCAGCAGAGACGGAGCAGGCCGACCACCAGCTGGCCCAGCCCAAGGGAGGTAAGGCACCTGCCAGAAAAGGGAAAAAAAATGGCGGACAAAAAAAATGGTGGACAAAAAAAATGGCGGACAGCCTTGCTTGGCGACCCCCGTGAAATGGTCAATCGACCCCAAATGGGGTCCCGACCCACAGGTTGAGAACCACTGTTCTAGTCCAATCCTCTATCCAGAACAGGAATTCTTAAATCAGGGGGTCTTCAAACTTGGTCCTTTTATGACTTGTGGACTTCAACTCCCAGAATTCCTCAGCCAGGGTTCCTGGCTGAGGAATTCTGGGAGTTCACGTCCACAAGTCATAAAAGGGCCAAGTTTGAAGGCCCCTGTCTTAAATCATCCCAGATGAATGGTTGTCCAGCCATTGCTTCCAAGCCTGCAGTGATGGAGCTCCAGCTCTCCAAGGGAATTTGAGGCAACTTATTCCATTGTAATTGCTCTTATGATGATGAAATAGCCTCCTTATTTTGAATTTGGTGGTCTCCATTTACTGTAAAGCTTCCACCCACTGGTTCTTTGCCTACCTTTGGGGGCTGAGGAGAATGAATCAATACCCTCTTCCCAGTGATAGCCTTTGAAGGGTTTGAAATGGAGAGTCAATATCTTTTTCTGAAGGAAGATCACATAATTGTACCAGGTTTGGTTAGGTGGCAACTTCCTAACGCCTAGGTCAGTGGTGGCAAACCTATGGCACACGTGCCAGAGGCGGCACTCAGAGCCCTCTCTGTGGGCACGCACACCATGCCCTGGAGATAGCAACCATCCCTCTTCAACCAGCTGCCCGCTAACTTGCAGAGATCCCACCTGGCCAGATGTATCCCAGCACCCATGCGCTCACTGGCTTCTGTGTGCAGGGGCCAATGGTGTCAGGCAGCAGCCGCCCCGGCCCCTGCCTCACCTTGCCCTGTGACAATGGCACCCCTGCCCTGCCTTGCCTTGCCTTGCCTCGCCTCACCCTGCAGCACAAGCCTCCTGCCCACCGCCCCACCTGCCAGAGACCCCCTGGATCTCCCCAACCCTGCCCGGCCCCCACAGGCGTCCCTCCCCACGAGCAACATTGAGGTGATCACGCTCACCTTGGCCACACCCACCCAATCTGCCATGACCATCACAGCCACGCCCACCCAGTGGGCCACGCCCACCTGGCACCCAGCGATAAATAAATGGGTTTTGGGTTGCAGTTTGGGCACTCGGTCTCTAAAAGGTTCACCATCACTGGCCTAGGTAAATTGTTTGGAAAGGAAATACTGAGTTGGCTTAAAGGTTGGCCCTGCTGATAAATGCAATGTGGCAATAGTTTGATTGCAAAACCGGAAAGCCTTGAGTTAGATGCAAGGAAAACTGCATGGGATCTTGAACAGTGGAGATACATAGGTAGTCCTTGACTTATGACCGCAATTAGGACTGTAAAATTCATTGTTAAGCGGTGTGAATGCTAAGCAAGGCATCATGTGGCCACACCCAATTTTACAACCTTTTTGGGCATGGTCATTAAGCCAGACATCAGGTGACCACAAGTTGCTACTGTCCCCCATCAACTTTGCTTGTCAGATGCTGGCTAGAAAGATGGCCATTGGCAATCACATGTCTCTGGGATACTGCAACCATCATAAATGCCAGCTGGTTGCTAAGAGACCAGATGATATAGGGTTTCCTGCCTGAGCAGGGAGTTGGACTAGATGACCTCCAAGGTCCCTTCCAACTTTATTATTATTATTATTATTATTATTATTATTATTATTATTATTATTATTATTATTATTATTATTATTATTATTATTATTATTATTATTATTATTATTATTATTATGGATCATCGTACAGTCAGCCAGATGTTCAGACTGGATTTGGCATTTTGTCTACTTATCGAGTCCTTACCAAGGACCTGGGATAGGCAGATGTGGATGTTTGATGTTATTACAGATATCGTCGCAGGATGGAAGCTGTTCCTAGTAAGGCCGCCTTTTGCAATTGACTAATGGCAAATTTGTCAATGCCAATGGTGTTCAAGTGGTGCTCCAGTTGTTTTGAGATTGCATCCAAGGCGCCTATTACTATTGGTACTACCTTTGCTTGCTTTTGCCACAGTCTTTCTATTTCTATTTGTAGATCTTTGTATTTTGTTATCTTCTCCAGTTCTTTCTCGTCTATTCTGCTGTCTCCAGGCTCTGCGATGTCCACTATCCAGACTTTTTTGTCTTTCTTATCGACAATTGTTAAGTCCGATGTGTTATGTTGCAGGTGCTTGTCTGTTTGAATTCTGAAGTCCCAGAGCAGTTTAATTTTATCATTTTCTATGACTTTCTCTATTTTATGATCCCACCAGTTCTTGCTTACAGGCAAATGATATTTCTTGCAGATCTTCCAATGCACCATTGTTGCTACTTTGTCATGCCGCTGCTTGTAGTCAGTCTGTGCGATCTTCTTGCAGCAACTTACCAGGTAGTCCACTGTTTCTTCAGCTTCTTTGCATAGGCGGCACTTACTGTCTGTTGCTGTCTTCTCAATTTTGACTTTGTATGCATTTGTCCTTAAGGCTTGGCCTTGTGCAGCCAGAATTAGTCCCTCGGTCTCTTTTTTCAATTTTCCTGCTCTTAGCCATTATATTATTATTATTATTATTATTATTATTATTATTATTATTATTATTATTATTATTATTATTATTATTATTATTATTATTGATCATTGCACAGTTAGCCAGATGTTCAGACTGGATTTGGCATTTTGTCTATTTATCGAGTCCTTACCAAGGACCTGGGATAGGCAGATGTGGATGTGGATGTTGTTGTTGTTGTTGTTGTTGTTGTTGTTGTTGTTATTATTATTATTATTATTATTATTATTATTATTATTATTAATGTGACTGCAGGGTTGCTGCAGCAGTTATAACTGCGAGGACCAACCATTCATTGTAACTTTGAACAGTCGCTAAACGAATGGTCATAGATTGAGGACTACCTGTAAGAGAAAGACACATGCACATCCAGACATACAAATGCAGATATTGCTTGAGAAATGCACTGACCTTAAGGAAGCTTTCAGAGTCCGGTTCCATCACAAGCCGAGCCTGAATCTTAGCTATTTCCTCATTGGCTGTGCGGATTTGTTCCTGGCTGTTCCTCTGGTTCCTGTCCAGTTCACTAAGAAGCATTTTTTCCTCTCTCTGGATCTCCCTGATCAGCGCAGACTCCTTCTCCTGAAGCCACTGACGGAGCTCCATGAACTGGACAGAGAGATTTTGCTCTAGACGCAGCCGTTGGGTCTTGGGAGAAAAAGGAGGAGGAATGTGTGAGATCCCCACCATCTCTGCTTTTAAAAAATACTGTATATCAAGAAGGCCCCTTCAAATTAGAATATAATAGAATAACAGAGTTGGAAGAGACCTTGTAGGTCAGGGGTGTCAAACTGCTGGCCCATGGGCCGGATACATCACAGCAAAATCGCGCCCACCCCATTGCCGACAATGGCAAAAAAAGTCACGACACATCACGTGACTTTGCGAGTTTGACACTGCTGTTGTAGGTCATCTAGTCCAACCCCCTGCCCAAGTTGTCCTGTTGCATAGTTTAGTGGGAAATAATGTCAAGTCTCCCACTAGTCAAACTCGTCTGTAACATTTCTTTGAATAATATTGATTTTTTTAACCTGCTTTTAAGTTTTTTGACTTCTGTCTAATCTGATATTTTTGATGGTCTCCCATCATACACTGACCAGTCCCAACCATATAAACTTTCATATATCTATGTATCTCTCCATCCATCCATCATCTATCTACAGTATCTATCTATCTATCTATCTATCTATCTATCTATCTATCTATCTATCTATCTATCTATCTATCTATCTATCTATCTATCTATCTATCATCTATCATCTATCATCTATCTGTCTGTCTGTCTGTCTGTCTATCATCTTTGTTATTAGTTGCAAAGTCGTGTCCAATCCATCGCAACCCCATGGACAACGTTCCTCCAGACCTTCCTGTCCTCTACCATCTTCTGGAGTCCATTTAAGCTCACGCCTACTGCTTCAGTGACTCCATCCAGCCACCTCATTCTCTGTCGTCCCCTTCTTCTATTGCCCTCAATCTTTCCCAGCATTAGGCTCTCCTCCAGTGAGTCCTTCCTTCTCATTAGGTGGCCAAAGTATTTGAGTTTCAACTTCACGATCTGGCCTTCTAAAGAGCAGTCAGGGGTTGATCTCCTCTAGGACTGACCGGTTTGATCACCTTGCAGTCCAGGGGACTCGCAGGAATCTTCTCCAGCACCATAGTTCAAAGGCCTCAATTCTTTGGCGCTCAGCCTTTCTTATGGTCCAACTTTCACAGCCATACATTGCAACTGGGAAAACCATGGCCTTGACTATACGCACTTTTGTTGGCAGGGTGATGTCTCTGCTTTTTAGTATGCTGTCTAGATTTGCCATAGCTTTCCTCCCCAGGAGCAAGCGTCTTTTAATTTCTTGGCTGCAGTCCCCATCTGCGGTGATCTTGGAGCCCAGGAAGATGAAATCTGTCACTACCTCCATTTCTTCCCCATCTATTTGCCAGGAATTGAGAGGGCCGGATGCCATGATTTTGGTTTTCTTAATGTTGAGTTTCAAGCCAATGTTTGCACTCTCCTTCTTCACCCGCATCAAGAGGCTCTTTATCTATCTATCTATCTATCTATCTATCTATCTATCTATCTATCTATCTATCTATCTATCTATCTATCTATCTATCATCTATCTATCATCTATCTAACTATCTATCTGTCTATCTACTTACCTACCTACCTACCTATCTCATCTATGGATTGATTTTATTGATAATTTGGACTGGTATTTCTCAAATGTGGCAAGTTTAAGATGTGTGGCCTGCAACTCCCAGAATTCCCAAGCCTACACTGGTTTTGACTGTATGATCTCTATATCTACTCCCTTTTTACAATCCTGTAATCCCTTAATTCGGGGTAGAGTCGGGGGGGGACTACATGGACCTGAGTGTTTACTGACCAGATCCTTTTCCTGACACCACACAGAGTTCACAGCAGATTTTTTTTTTCTTTGCAGCCTAGGAGAAATATCTGAGGCTACCTAAAATTGAACTCTCAACCTTCCAAGTGGGAGGCGGGCATCTCCACTAGTAGGCCATGCCACCACTCATCTCTATATTTACATAACACTGAAGAATTAATTTGGCACCAGCACATTATTACTACCGTTACTTTCATTTACCTACTAAAGCACCACTGATGGCTGACCACGTCAAACATATGCTCAATATGTACAACAGCATGGAAGATTTGACCTACTGTGATTTCTGGAAGTTTCTGGTCCCTCTGCTCTTGAATGGATCTTTCTGCTTCAATTTTGGATTCCAGCTGTGTTCGAGACGCTGTTAAGATCTCCTGGAAGGAAGCAGAAACACCACAGGATAGAAACAGATTACAGTAACCATTCACAGTTATTGCTCATTCTGAGGTCAATGAAAACAGATGCCAGAAAAGCCAACGGCCAGCCATCAAAGTAGAGACAGATTTTGCACTAGGCTCCAATCCAGATCTTACAGGGACCACCCATCTCTGGACACTATCTCAGACTTTGCTTTCATACCCATTTCTTCTCTAGCTATTTCAAGAGTTGACAATCCAACTCAGGTATAAATCCACAGTGGCTAATAACCATATTTCTGGCTCCAATAAAGGAGAATATATGTAGCTCAAGGTTGAAATTAAGGGGTCCTTGGTGCTCTCTGAGCTTGGTTGTTTTCTGGCTACTTTGATTATTGCTGGCTGACAGGATCGTCCTTTTTGTTCAGCCAGTGGCAATTGTTATTTAGCCTGAACTACACAACTGCACAATAAGCTCTACAAAATAGAATTTGGACACCGCAAGCGTTGTCTTAAGAAATCCTAGAACAATTTCCCTCAATCTTTGGTCCTCCAGATGTGTTGCAGCTCCACTTCCTAAAAAGTCTAATCCAAATGCAGTACATGTCACATCAGACTGGCACCCCACTGAGGAAGGCGTTGGTAGAATTTAAAACAAGCATCTCAAAAGTTACTCAGACTTTGCAACTCTAAACACTATGGGGATGAAGACCAGATGGTATCTCAAAGCGAACAGGGATGTAACAGCCACACAGTCCTAGGAAAAGACACGAGTGCTTTAAAAGTTTTGCGGCAAATTATATAGTTGCTTTCAAAAGTAAAGCATTGCACTAGCCTATCAAAGAGGACAGGAATCCGGTAAAATTTGAACATAGGAAGATAACACGGTATTGATTGTATTTTACTTTTAGAATATTTCTGATCTCCTGCATAGTAATTCCATAGATGATGGTCTGTATCAAAGCCAACTACCAGCCTCCTTCTTGAGAAGAATGTCAGATCTTTGTAAACCATAAAGCTTTTTGCAAAACGATAAAAATGAGGGTTGACATTGGGTGGGGGAGTTGGACTAGATGATCTACAAGGCCCCTTCCAACTCTGTTATTCTATTCTAAATAATAATAATAATAATAATAATAATAATAATAATAATAATAATAATAATAATAATAATAATAATAATAATAATAATAATAATAATAATAATAATAATAATAATAATAATAATAATAATAATAATAATAGAGTTGGAAGGGACCTTGGAGGTTTTATAATCCAACCCCCTGCTCAGGCAGGAAACCCTATACCATTTCAGACAAATGGTTGTCCAATGTCTTCTTTAAAAATTTCCAGTGTTGGAGCATTCACAACTTCTGGATTAATTGTTCTAACTGTCAGGAAATTTCTCTTTAGTTCTAGGTTGCTTCTCTCTTTGATTACTTTCCTTCCATTGCTTCTTGTCCTGCCTTCAGGTGCTTGGAGAATAGCTTGACTCCCTCTTCTTTGTGGCAGGCCCTGAGATATTGGAACACTGCTATCATGTCACCCCTCGTCCTTTTTTTCATTAAACTAGACATAACGAATTCAAGCAACCAATATTTTTTAGCCTCCAGTCCCCTAATAATCTTTGTTGCTCTTCTCTGTACTCTTTCTAAGGAAGATGAAAAAGGATGAAAATTGCTTGGTGATTGGTGCCATTCTGTTTACCATTCCTCAGAAGAAGAAAAACAACAGATAGAAGGCGGGGGGGGGGGCTAAAGGGAGGAGAGAAAGAATTTCAGCAGTTTCCCTTTTGAAAAACAGTGTTATGCAACCGATTGCACAACCCTGACTGTCACTTTGTGAATCAGCAATCACACCCACGCACATATACTTTTGCAAATGCCTACCACAGATCCACAAAATGTTTAACATGCTTACCAGCTCCAAAGGTAAGACCCAGTTCAAAACAATTTGTTCAGTATGATACTCTGCGATCCAGATGCTGTGGATAGCCAGATGTTTCTGGGAAATCCATCAGCAAAACATCCCCAAACACTGTTATTGGAGGCACATTGTTTCTACATATCATGAATCCATTTTGCCATAATCTTGATGGACCATGCACAACGGATAATTTGTTCCTGACCAATGATACAGCTATTCAGACCGTTACTTTCTGGGCCTCAGATGCTATATAATGTCACATAAAGTGTTTTAAATTCCTTCCGTGTTTTAATTATTATATTTCTTATATAGTTATTGAATGTTTTTTTTAATTTAGATTATTATATTAATTTAAATATTATATTCTTTCTTTTACTGTAAGGTGCTCAGAAAAGAAAGGAAGAAATTAATCCAGCAGATCATTGTATGACTAGTAGCCTTGCATTCTTCTTCAGTATGTGTAGATCAGGGGTAGGCAACCTTGGCTCTTTTATGACTCGTGGACTTCAACTCCCAGAATTCCTGAGCCAGCCATGCTGAGGGGAAAGGGAGAGTTTCCAAGCTGAGCCATGCTGACTCAGGAATTCTGGGAGTTGAAGTCCACGTGTCATAAAAGAGCCAAGGTTGCCTACCCCTGGTATAGATAGTCCTCACTTAACAATCATAATTGGGACCCGCCACTCTGTTGCTAAATGAAACGATCATCAAGGAAAACATCATGCAACATTGCCAATTTATGATGGCGGTTCCAACTATTCTGGTTGAGGTCATTAAGTGAAATATCATGTGACTGTGATCTGCAACCCCTTGCCAGCTTCACCATTGACTTTGCATGTCTGAAGCTGGCTCGGACGGTTCGAAATGACAATTCTTTGACCAGAATTGTCATAAATGTGCAACACTTGCCATGTACCCGAATCATGAGCATTTGACCACATTGATGCTGTGAAGGTCATAAATGTGAGGACTGGCGCTACATCTTTTTTTTTTTCCAAATACCATTGTAACTTCAAACAATCACTCAATGAATGGTTGTTGAGTGAGAACTAGCTGTACTTCCATTTTAAAGTGAAGTTGCCTGCACTTCCTTAACTCTCAACTGCTTTGTCTTGCTTCTTTTCAGATAACCTGTATCTTCTCATTTTCCATGAGTGGCCCCAAGAACATCTGTTATGGACCTCCCACAAACCCACAACCACACTCCACCAGGAATTATCCAGAACCAAAGACAAGGCACAGAAGGATGAAAGAAACAATATAATCTACAAGATCAATTGTAACGATTGCAACCACTTCTACGTGGGACAAGCATCACGTCAATTAAAAACCAGCATCCACGAACCTTAGCTGACAGTCAAATGCCACGATCCCATATCTTTAATCGCTACCCACACCGACACCAAACAACACCAGTTCGATTGGAGCAACGCAAAAAGCATTGGCCACACTGGTGAGTTCATTGAAGCCTGGCACTCCACTAGCAATTCCATCAACAGACACATTGATCTACAACCAGCCTATGAACCCCTCAGGATCCAAATCAACCGCACAGCCAACCAGAGACAGCACTGACCCACATCCAACCCACACAAGCCCCTCTCCCCCCCCAGCAGTTCACCTCCCAAAGACCCTGAGCTGGAGCAACTTCCCCATCACAAGACCCATCACCAACTTCTGACTGATGACTCGCCTCTGACCCACTGATAACTCACACCTTCCAACGACCCTGACCTATAATAACCTCCCCATCACAGGACCCATCACCAGCCTCTCTCTGATGACCCATCACAAGACCCTCACTTGACACACCCACACCTGAAGCCCTTGTAAACAGAAGAGCACTGACACAGACCTTCCCTAAAGGTGTTACCTAGCCTGGTTAACAAAATATTAACTTTCACCCTCTCACCAAGTCCACGAGCCCCTTCTACTCACCTTGAAGTGCTCCACAGCTTCAACTAGAGGGAGACATCGGTGACCCCAGTGTTCTGATTGCAGAGTTCTCACCAGGCACCCATCTTCAGTACAAAAAAGCTTGTCCCCCTGCATCTCCTCGTCATCTTTATCACCGTTGGTCTCCTCGTCACCAGCCAAAATAGATTCCTGGGCTTTGCAAGCAAGCTGTCCCAGCACCCGGTTAGGTGTATATTTGCCACCGGGGATCTCACGCCGACACTCTGGACATGTAGGGAGGGGTGGTGGTATATTCTCCTCACGGTTGCTAGAGATCTCAGCCCAGAACCGAGTGATACAGCCCTGGCAATAGTTGTGCCCGCATTCCAGCATGACGGGATCTGAAAAGAGCTCCAGGCAAATAGAACAGCGCAGATCCTCAGCAAAACATTCTATGCCTGTTGGGGCAGCCATGGCGAAAAAGAAAACCCTTCCCAAATCAGAAAAGGACACAATTTATTTTATAGCTCCTTGCTGTCTCCTCAGAAAGCTTCCTTAAGCCACTTGCTCTTCCCAGTTGTATTTTATCTCTAAGTTTCTTCTCTGGTTTGTTCCCTCTTCAGGTCCTGAATTTTGTCCTTCTCAGTTATTTAAATGACCATTCTCTCTGGGTTACTCTGCCTTAGAAAAAGGAATTCAACCTTGGCTGGTGTTTCTGGGCTTTTGTTCCTTCGTCCTTACTTCCTCGTTTTCTTTCCATTCTTGGCGCGTTTTAAAAGCATGCTCCAGCGGTAACGAAACCAATTTTAAACAAATATAAACAAATTGACAATAAAGCCGGTCTCCTTTGCAAAGCTCTTTCCTGCCTTTGCTTTTCAAAACAGGATCCTCTTAATGGACTCTTCTCAGCCAGTCAACCCTGCCCGGACAAGTCTCAGCACACCTTCTGAAGAATTCTCAATTGTTTCTGAAGGGTTTCCCACTGCAGCCACACCTTGAATCTGATCACTGTCTGAAATCTCTTCCTCTTTCGACGAAGCTTTGCACCACCCCATCTATAAGACTGCCTCTTTACATTGTAGGAAGCTCCCCCCCTCCCCAGATTAAAATATTCTTTATTCTTAATATTAAGAAAGAGGCACAATAGGATATTTCCCCTAAAGGAGAAATGGAGGGGGGGAAATCTTAACAAAGGCAGAAAGCAGCCCCAGTCTTCCTACTATAACAAAAAAAAAGCCTCAAGCAAAAAGGCCAGTCGTTAGGAGATTGGGCCAATCTATTCATAAACAAAACACCTTCGGCCCCTACAGTTGATGGGATTGAGAATTTACATTCCCTCACCCAAATTCTAAGGACAGGACAGGACCTTTAAGACATAATAGGATTAACCCACCACCATTGACACTAGGTTCACTACACTGCACAACGCCCTGGAGCATCTCAATCAGAAGGTATAAAAACCCACCCACTCTCAACTCCATTTTGTCAGCTGTCCCAGAATTACATGCTGCTGCTGGTTCTGCTCATCAGTAAACAGACCTTCTTTCTCAAGCAGCCTCCATTTTATTCCCAGCTTGGAACTGATTTTTCTTTCAACAACACAAACCGATAGATATAGGTAGGTAGGTAGATGATAGATAGATAGATGATAGATGATAGATAGATAGATAGATAGATAGATAGATAGATAGATAGATAGATAGATAGATAGATAGATAGATAGATAGATAGATAGATAGATAGATAGATAGATAGATAGATAGATAGATAGATAGATAGATAGATAGATAGATAGATAGATAGATAGATAGATACAGGGCTTTTTTTCTCATAGAACGCCCAGAACAGAGTTCCAGCACTTTTTTGGATGGAACCTTGTACGGTAGGCAAGGCGGGTTGTATGACGTGTGTGAGTTCCGGCACCTTTTATTTTTTACAAAAAAAGCACTGGATAGATAGATAGATATTATTGGCCAGGAATGCAAGACTTTTAAATATATAGGTGTCCACCATCCCACTCAGTCATCTAGCAAAGAAAGACTCCTGGCCATATGGTTTTTCCAAGAGTACAGTATATTTTAATGAAGCTGAGGTGTTTACAGAAAAAGCGTGAGCTGAATCTGAGGTTTTCCCCGTGCAAACTATACAAAGTAAATTTTTCTCTTCCCCCACCCCAGCCATCCCCTGGTTATCTGCAAATGTCCAATTAGGTGCTCATATATTGTTTAGGAAATAGTTTCTCAGTTCCCAGCTCTGTACATTGATAGTTGACCTTGGCAGGCTGAAGGTTCTCACAAGGCACAGCTCGACTTCCATCCCCCCTTTTTTCCTTGCATTACAATCCTTCCCTCTCCCACGCCCTTTGCTAATGTCAGGCTGTCAGCTCATGAAGCTTGGATAGGAGATAAAACCATGACAAAAGGTGGTTCTCAACCTGTGACCATAATGGAGCCTAGAATTTCCATTGTATGTCATGATGGTCGCAAATCAAGGCACCCATGTGACCAATCAAACAGAATGCGGCAATCGTAAAGTGAACGTCACAGTCATGAATCAGTCATTAAATGATTGCCACAGTTGTTAAGCAAACCCATTGCCTGCAATTGTTGGGTTTTTTGCCAGAAACCAGAAGACATGGTCATGTAAATGCAATTTGTGACTTTTTTGCCATTTTTCAATCTCCTTTGTGACCACGTAATTCACTCAATGACCGTGTGTTTCACATAACGACGATGGTTACTCGTTTAACAACTCTCATAAAACAATTGTAAAATTGAGTCCAGTGACATGGTGCCTCGACTTATGACCAAAATTCCAGTCCTAATTGTGGTCGTAAATCAAGGACTATCGGTAACTTAGAGCAGTACTTCTCAGCAACATTAAGATTGACTCCCAGAATTCCCCAGCCAACAGAAATGATCTGTCATCTCAGTTCTGTACAAGGAAGAAACCACAGTTGGGAAAAGTAAGGAATGAGTAATCATGCCTCACCCAAGAACGGGAATTATCTTTCTCAATCAATACTGTGTGCTTCATCTCTCTCGTGTGACGAAACCCAGTGTTGGTATTCTCAGGGATTAATTTCAAGAGGCTTCTGATCTTGGCCCTTCTAGGCATAAACATTGTTGATTCAAGAGATGATTCAGTCCCAAGAAAGTAGAGCAAGAGTTTATTGTGGGACTTCTTCACTCAGTACCTTTTTGTCCCCTGGGCCTTTGAGGGGAAGGGGAGATTCAAAACCTTACATTGAGGGGAAGATCTCCCACTTCAGCCTGCTTCTCCGTCTAGAATGATTGTTTTAAAAAAAATGTTTGTTTATGCAGGGTCCTTGGTGCTCTCTGAGCTTGGTTGTTTTCTTGCAGATGTTTCATTACCCAAACTAGGTAATATCATCAGTGCTAGTAAGGAATGGGGGAGGGGGGCTTGCCCTGGGAGTGGTCTTGGAGGGCTATTTACTGTTAGCTTGTTTGGCAATTCCTTGTTTGGGATGTCATTTACTTCTTGATTGTTGGTCTGCTGTTAATCTTGGTGTTAATCTATGCTCATCTGATTGACATTTGACAGGGCAAGCCACTAGAATATAAACTGACAGCAAACCCCATTTCTTACTAGCACTGATGATGTTTACCTAGTTTGGGTAATGAAACATCTGCAAGAAAACAACCAAGCTCAGAGAGCACCAAGGACCTTACATAAACAGATATTTTTTTTTAAACAATCATTTTAGATGGAGAAGCAGGCCGAAGTGGGAGATCTTCCCCTCAATGTAAGGTTTGGAATCTCCCCACCTTTATTATTTTTATAAATAACTCAAAGCAGCAAACACATATCCCACCTTTATTATTTTTATAAATAACTCAAAGCAGCAAACACATCCAACCCACCTTCCCCCTCCTATTTTCCCCACAACAACCCTGTGAGGTAAGATGGACTGAGAGAGAGTGATCGGTCCAAGGTCATCCAACTGGCTTTCATACTTGAGGTGGAACTATAACTCTCAGTCTCCCTGTGATTGGTCCAAGTTATCCAGTTGGCTTTCATGGCTAAGGCAGGACTTGAACTCATAGTCTCTTGCTTTCTAGTCTGCTGTCTCAAACCACTAGGCCCAACGGTTCTCTTGCCTTTGGGATTCAATGATTCACTAATGAAAAGGCAGGAAATTCTCTCATCGAGTGCCAATACTTTTACTGTATTGCTTTTGGGCACAATCCATTATTTCTTTTAAGCTTCCTTTGAAATGATTGGGAGAACAAAAACAGGAAGGAAAGGCGAGGCACAAAATACTCATGAAAGAATCATCTTTAATCAGGATCAGGTTTTAAAGTCTAGCTGTGGTACACATATATGAGAATTACATCTTTATGAAAATTGTAATTCTTGGGGACCAAGAATGGACATTCCCAGAAGTAATGAAATACAGGGTTTTGTCCTAAAGCACTCTCAAGAGCAGGGCTTTTCAACCAGTGGTACGGGTAGCACCTGTGGTACATTGGCACCTGGCAGGTGGTACGTGACCATCCTAGAAAAGTGATAGTGGGGGCGGGGAATGAGCTGAACCGGTGGCAGCACCGCACAAGCCTGAGCGAGAGATGGCTGGAGCTGCAGGGCTGTCAGAGCTCAGCGGAAGCACCAGGATCGGTGCCGCTTTTTAGCTGATCGACGCTTCTTCGGGACTGTCAGGGCTCAGTGGAAGCACCAGGATCAGCGCCAGGATCCAGCTGGAGCACAGCACTGATCCTGGTGCTTCTGTTGAGCCCAGAAGAAGCGCCGATCAGCTGGAATGTTGCAGCATCTCCAGGGTCTTGTGATTTACATTCAGATGCCTGGCAACTGATTCATATTTATGACGGTCACAATGTCCCAGGATCATGTGAAGTGACCAAAACCTGCTGCAACCACCCAGCAGACGGGGGGAATAAAAACCAAACACCCCCCCACCCCACCCCCGCTGCCAATCCCCAACAGAAATGCTCACAATGGAAACCTCGGACAGGAGGAAGAGCGCCGCCGGGTGGGCAGACAGGTGTCTTGCTCGGCTGTGCCTTGGGGGGCACTTTTTTCAGTGCCACTGTAACTTTGAACAGTCACTAAGCGAACTGTTGTAAGCCAAGGACTACCTGTATTTTATCACTTCTTTTTTTTTTTGGTCATCAAGTTTTTGACACCTAGCTAGGCGACTGGTGGTACTCGGATGTTGCCATATCCTAAAAGTGATACAATGGGTGAAAAAGGTTGAAAAGCCCTGCTCAAGAGGATATCCTTGCAATATTTTTAGGAAATTGATTGATCTCAGGTTTGGTTCTTTTCCTTATTTGTTTTTTAAAATCTATGTGGGTTGGTTTTTTTTTTATCTCTGCTTCTCAAAAAGGAGAAATGGTGACAAGTATCTAGCAAGCACCCTGATTTGAAGGTGCTCGGAAATACATCTTTTCCATAACTTTCCTACACTGGTGTTTTTCTGACATTTGGATCACAACTCCCATCAACCTCGGTGGCCGTACTATCAGAAGACCATAAAAACTGTAGTCAAAAATGAGGGGAGCCTACTCACTCCAAGATGTTTGATTGCTAGAGGGCTTTTTTTTTCCTAAAATTTCCATCCTTCCTTCTCTCCCTCCCTCCCTCCTTCCTTTCATCTATCCATCCATCCACCCATCCCACATAGCAGATCACTTGATTCTGTGACTTGAGCTCTTTTGCACAATACTTGAGCTAAGATGACCAAAGTGGAAATCGGTGAAGCTTTGCACGCTAAATTTGACCACGCTTAATAAAGCCATTTTTTCAGCACACAGAGCTTTAACCAACATATCTCC